ATTGTCACATTTTTTTCCTTGAAGCCCCAGGTGTGACTCTGATTACCCCTAAGGTGTATCCCTGTACAGCAGAGCTCCCCCAACCGTGGGGCACCTCTGGGGGGCATGGGGAAAGATTTGGGAAGCCTGGCGGGACCTGGAGAGAAGGCCACCCCATCATACTCCGCCCCCAGCTCTGCTCCTAGCTTCACCTCCAGCCTCAGCCCCAGACCAGGGCTCCGCTCCTGCTCCCAGCCCCACCCACAGCCAGGGTTCCAGCCCCCTTTCCCTTGTCTGTGTCTCCCCCCAAGCCACAGCCCCGCTCCCAGCCCTGGCTCTGGGGGACCAGAGAAGGGCCACAGGGGATGGGGGGACATGACCCTGAAAAGTCTGGAGACCACTTCTGTAGGGGAAGGAGGTGCCATTTTGATACACTCACCCTTCATAGAAGCCCCCTTTAAAATCTGAACTTTGCAGCTCCCTGGCCTTGACAGACTGTTGGAGAAGAATTGGGAGCCCTCTAAAGCAGTGGTTTTATCCACTAATATTACATCTAGCCGTTCCAAAGGGGTCTGCACCGCCATTGGAAATTTCTTTAGGGATCCACAAATGAACGAAGGCTGAAACCCGCTTCTCCAGATTGAATTGTACCACTGGCCACTGGAGGCTGATCTACTGAGTCGAGCGGTAATGAAGTGCAGGTGGCAAGAGGCCAAGTGTCTTTGAGGAGACTCGCTGGCAGTGAAAGAGCTGTGCCCTCGAAAAGGGCTGCATGTTGAAATCAGACACAGATCAACTCTCCTGAAATAGGGATTTAATTTTCTCCTTTCAGCCATCACTCTGCTCTCAAGTAGAATCACGTTCGGGTCCGTCCCCTGGGCCTCTCGCACCCTGTATCAGCCGAGTTAAATCCGAGACAACGTGTGAGACGCATGTTGCAGGTCTCAGAACCCCACCCAGCCACTCCTGTAACAGGCCCATAATCTTTGGCTGCGTTCCTGAAGTCCTCAAATCATGATTTAAAGACATCAAGTTGCAGAGAGTCTGCCAGGAACGTTTGTTCAGACCAGCAAGGGACCATGCTGCAGAGGAAGAGGAAAACCCCCGAGGGTCCCTGCCAGTCTGCCCTGGGGGGAAATTCCTTCCTGATCTCAAATATGGTGATCAGATAGACCCAGAGCCTGTGGGCAAAACCCACCGGCAGACACCTGGGAAAGAACTCTCCATAGTAACTCAGAGCCCTCCCCTTCGAGTGTCCCATCCCCTAGCAGTCACATGCCAGCGTAAGCAACTGTTCTCCCTCCCCTTCCACAAACTGCTGAAGCTCAGGGTTGAAACAAGTGAAGTTTTTTGCCCCCACTAGTGCCTGTGGAAGGCTGCTCTAGAACTTCGCTCCCCGGGTGGCTAGAACCCCTCTCATTCCCAGCCTGCACTTGTTGATGGCCATTTTATAGCCATCGGTTCTCAGGCATGGGAGTTAATCCATGTCCACTGCTGGCTTGTGGCCCCCAAGGTCGGCTGTGCACAGCTAGTACGCTGCCAGCTGCAGCAAGCCACACAGGGAAACCTGCAAAGGCTTGCTGGGTGAAACCCTGGAAACACATTCACTGCTGATCTTCTCTAGCTCAGCGGCTCCATGCTTCACAGAGCAAGTCAATCGGAATCCAGCGTAACAGCTCGGTCATGCCTAGCATTATGCCCAATTATCACCCCGCTGGACCCACGTCTGTGAGGAAACACAGCAAAGTTCCCTTCGCTTGGAAGCCCTGGAAACCTCTGTGGCGCTGAACTCCGCAGCAGGCCCTGAAAGCCCAAGCGAAGCTGAGCTGAACTGAGTAACTGCAAGTGCCATGTGCCGCCCTCCGTGCCAGCTCTCCTCGGCTGCAGACACACACCCTCTATTTGCAGCCTTTCCTCTGCTAGCCTCCCCCCAGAGGCGCTCACACAGCTGAGTTTGAATAGCTGCATTTTCAAATGTTCTGCCTTCGCTGTCGAGACTCTTCTAGTAACCCAGGGTATGTCTACACTACCCCCCTAGCTCGAACTAGCGGGGGTAACGTAGTCATCCGCAGTTGCAAATGAAGCCCGGGATTTGAATTTCCCGGGCTTCATTTGCATGAAGCCGGCC